CATGACTTTGAATAGGCCAGTTCTAAATTATTGAAATTAGTGGCAGTGAGTTGGCAAACAGGGCACTTTAATTGTGATAGTGTGTCAATGATGATGTTAACTATCTTTCCATCTATCATGCATAAACTCAAAAGAGTAGTCGGTGCAGTTACAATATGGTTTTTAGATGTATAAGCTGTTGGTGGATGAAGGTCATGAATCTGTTTTTCAATTGATTCCTTTTCTGAAAGTATTAGTTGTTTAATTTCTTTCCTATACTGTATATGTATAGGACGACAATAGCGATAGGAAGTAGGACAAGGATTTGACCAAATTATGAAGTTTCCACTGGCGATTTGTAAAGGCACAAAAGTAGTCGCAAATAGGCTGTTTTCATCGAATAAGGGATCCTGTTCAGACTGGGTAAATCTCTGTTTATAAAGGGATTGCCCAGTGCTCCCATCGAATCCCCATGAGCCCTTAAAGGTGCACTGTAATTGTGAAATTCCTTTTTGGTCGCAGTACTGTACTAAACTGTCATCAACTGTCTGTAATACTCTTTTGAAAGTATGGTTAACGAGTCCTTGTAATGAGACAGAAGCTTCACAATCGCTTACCTGGATTTCTTCGTCCGGGTAACAGATTTTTTTATACTCTCTGACCTTGTAATATGGTGGATACACCGGGAACCCTTTTCTTTTGAGGTCCTGCTGTAGAAATTTGTATGTCTCTACCGTAAATTTTCGGTCTACAATTATAGCTAAGGCTTCTTCAGGAGTATATGGTTGATTTTGAGTTTTAGTACTAGTTTCAGAATTATTTCGCGCAAGTTCTATAAGTTTTTCTGGTGCTTCCACGTACGTATTAATTATTTCTTCCATTCCTGGTCGAGCAGCATTTAAAGGACTTTTTTTTCTGGAAACAGTATCATCAATAGCTGAAGTACTAGGTACTGCTAAAATAGCTTGTGTAAACACTTTAATCAATTTACGTTGCGGCTCTTTATCTAGAATGGTTTGCAAACTTTTTCTTTTTCGTAATTGTTGACGCTCACTCAATGAAATATATTTACCAGTTCGAGGGCTAATACTTGTAGTGTGAGACCCACTTTGCAACTCATCCGGAAGATCATCCAGAAAACTTTTACTCAGCCACTCTGCATTCTTTTTGAAAAAGAACTGTGATTGTCTGTGACAGTCCATATACCTTTTTTCTGATTTTATAATAAAAAAAGTGATAGCCTTGTTTAACTTTTTTCTGAGATCATCTGAATGCAGCGGTTTTATTTTATCCTTAAGTAGTTTTATCATAAGGTTTATCTTATCAGACTGATTTAAATCAGGAGGTCTTCGTTTTGGGCCCAATTTTTTGCTTTCGCTAACGAATGCCTTATATATGTCTAACCGTGTTAAAGAAACGGATCTTTCACATTCGCTACTTCTCACTTCCATGGAAGTATCGCTACTAGTTCCAGGATTGTCGGATTCATGTAATACTTCTTCTCCTTGCCTACTTACGTTTGCCTCCGGATAGTGAGAGGCGCCGGCTATGGCGCTATCCATAGCATCATCAACTCTTGCCACTCGTGAACCAACACGAGGGTTGGCGCCCTCGTGCCCTCCTTGCAATAAGTCCCCCGGTCGGAGCCCGGAAGGACATCCCCCAGCAGGTTGGGTTAGCTCCTGCTGAGGCAAAGTGGCGCCATGGGTCTGGAACGGCACCATGGTGCCTCACCCCCGTTCCTCCAGAAAACATGTTTAAGAGCGGGGTTTTGGTAAATTAAATACCTAACGAGGGTGGACCCCTTCCCGCCCCCATGTGTTTTCCTTCATCTGAAAAAATACTAATATCGATCAATAGATTAAGGTTTTTGAGATCCAATAAAATTATCTCAAAAAAAAAAGAGGATCAAATCTCGGGAAGGAAGATAATAAGCTGATATTTTTTATAAATCTATGTTTTGACGTTTTAAAGGTTACCTCATAAATCTCATAATCATATAAGATCTTGTTTCTGCGTCTTAAGTTATTTAAGGTCGAACGGGAAAAGATAGGAATAGGGAGCGAGATATTTATGAGAATGGGTTTTTCATAAATATCTTGCTTCCTATTCTAAGGTTAAAAGCTAATTTTACTGGGCTAAAGTATTTTCCACCGACATTCGACATTTGTCATCTCTGCCATTGTCTATAATCGAACACAAGATTCAATCTTAATATTTGTGGTTTTAATAAACATTTAAACCTCCAAAAGAATTATTGCTTTTAAAAAGTTATAAGAAATTTACAATTCTATGTGACAGCCCTGGTGCATATTTTCAATTTGTTTTTTCTCAAATATACCACGAAATTTAATGCTGTTTTTTTTTATACAACTAGAATAAATGTCAGACTATATCTTGCGATTAATAAAAAATGCATATATTATGGTATAATGAAGAAAAAAAATAAAAACAAAAATTACAAAAAGTTTTTTTTTTATTTAACTGCAAGCATTTACAAAACACTTTAAACGCTTATTGCGTGTAGTTTTAACAGTTCTATGAAGTATTATAATGGGTCTCAATTAAATGTTATTAGTTTACGAGTAAGAATGTTTTTCATTTTTTAAAAAGAAAAAAATAACTAACTTTTGAATTTTTATATCTCGAAAACTAAGTGGAATTTTCAAACGAGAGTTTTTCTATCATATTTGCATAAATGAGCTCTAAACGATTCATCAAATAAATGAGAATGTCCGATTTTACGGTCTCATAACATACTGTGAGACGTTTCAATCTATAGAAACTTTAACGTGAAAAAATCCACGCAGTCCAGGCAGCAGACCCTCTGCTATCAGGGCGGATGGTCTGACCAATTTGGTTCATTATTATCATAATCATCTCAGCCGTACGACGCCCACTGCTGAGCATATGCCTCCCCCAAGCATTTGCACATCGATCGGTCCTGTGCCACACGAATCCATCGGCTTTCCGCGATCTTCACCAGATCGTCGGTCCACCTGGTGGGGAGTCTACCAATTTGGTAACGAGTTATTTATTGAAAAGATATTTTATAATACTAGCTGTGCCCCGCGGTGTTACCCGTGATTTATTAGGGATATTTTCCCGCAGTAATACCGAAGTTTAGTAAATTTGCTCCAGCCGTTTAGACATGAAAAAGTAAGAAACATACACACTCACAAACTTTCGCCTTTATAATTTTAGTGTGATTACTTGTATACATGATATAAGCTTTGCAATAAAGGTAAAAAAAGTATAAGAAACAAAAAGAATAATAAAATAATTACAAATAAAAATAGCTGAAAAATAGGGTTCACAAAGAATTCGTTTTTCTCACCAATACTAAAAGGATAAATTTTACTGGTAAATTTTTGTATGATCTACTGCCCTAGCAATATATAAATATTGTACTTAGTAATATGTGATGATGAATGGCTGAATATTTATAATTTCTATGAAAAAAGGCTAAGGAACTTTTGAATAAGCTTGCTACATTTGATAAAAGATGTTGCCAATTACTTACAGAACCATCAATTTCGCATTTTCTTATAATCTTTCCTCCCATTTCTCAGATTTACAGAACCTTCAAAATTAAAAGAAAGCGCAAAAGTTGGTATAGCAGTCTGATTCCCCCAAAATACTGAATCATCTTAAACTATAAGTGATCTTCCCTAATGTCAGTAAACTCAGGAGAAGCCTTGGCTATGTTAGAACCCATTACAAACATTTATTTCCACCAGTTAAATAAATGTATAATCTTTTCAGACTGCCTCAGTTGTCTTCAGGACATAGCTAAGCCTTCATTCTACTCCAAACAAAATTTTAGTGTCATGCTTTAGATTAGGGAAGGCCTTATATTAACACACACAATTAACAATTTAAAAGTCCTCTTAGCCTGGATACCAGTCCCATGGGCATTGAAGACAAAGCTGCTGATGTATGTGCAAAAAGGTTATTCCCGCGATATCCATAATTTGGCTAAAACAGTGATGCTAGAATGATGGAATGAAATATATAAAGAAACTTATCAAACAAAGGGTAAATATTATGGCAGCTTACAACCTGACATCCCATCAAAACCTTGGTTCATTCTACCACACGCATATACCCAAATCTATAACATCAACCATCATTCATATGAGACTGGGCCACATTTTACTCCAGTTTTTCTATCCAAAATATGAGATCATTCACTTTGTGAGTGTGGATTAGATGAAGGGACCCTTGAGCACATATTGTTTCCCTTCCCTTCCATACTGCCTTAAAATTCCCAAAAAAGGCATGCTACCCCATTAATATTAATTTTATGCTAAATTAAGTACAATCCTCCTTAATTTATAAACTGTGCAAGTTCCTGAAACTACATAACATAACACTTTAACTGTAGTACCAAAATAAAATTCCTCCTCTTACCCCAGTTATACAATACCAATACATATATTTGTCCTCGAGTCCATATTAAATGCATGCGTGCCTGGTATCATAAATGTCTGTCTGTGTTACACAGATACTCAACAAGTCTGCGGTCTACATACTGCAACATCAACAAAACCGTACAGTCTCAGCATATACCTTGTCACCTTTAACCCAAACATTGGCAGAATCGGCACATATTGAAACACAGCCATAATCACCAAAAAATTGAATGGAATTTAATAATGAAACATAGCCATAATCACCAAAAAATTGAATGGAATTTAATAAAGAAACACAGCCATAATCACCAAAAAATTTAATGGAATTTAAACACTGACCAAATCATCAATAGGCACCTAGTTTTAACTTACTTGCTACGGGGGAAAGAACATAGTGGTGAAAGTGCATATAAAATAGCAGTTGATTTTTCAATACAAATGAAACCACAACTGACGGTTTCATGATAAAACCTTATAAAACTGGAAACTAAAAGGGTTATTGATACATAGGTAGATACATCTTTCAAGTTCTGATGAACAGCGTAAAGCAGTACTAACTCTTACATTCTATTTATACACAAAATGTGAGCAAATAACCGTACTTACTGCTCGAGAACAGGACAAACTGAACTTTGAATCACTATCAAAACTCATTACAAGTAGGTAGGTATCTCAACAGCTGGCAGGAAACCAAAGCTCATAGAGAAAGGTAATTATACCAAAAGTAGGCATGCGTCCGATATATCAAAACGAATCCAAAATCCGATTTCAAACACAAATCGATACCGAACGATTTCTCAACTAGAAAATCCGATTTCAGAAATCTAACCGAACCAAAACGCTAGCGATCACGTATCCAAATGTAAATCGGATTCGAAATTCGTGCTATCTTTTTTTCTCCGCTTTGTAGCGATTGGTTAGAAAGAGAGAAAGCGAATTTGTTTACAATTTCGAACGTCAGTAAAATTCGCTTTGTCTCTTTCTTACCAATCGTAACAAAGCGGAGTAAAAAAGATGCCGCGAATTTCGGAAGTCCGATTTGGATTTCTTGTTTACGGAAATCTATTGCCATTGAATATGTGCGATCAATATAGTCTTACGACACAGTACTTAAAGACTATATTTGCGTGACTAGGCTGTGAGGTGATGTATTTTGGCTTATATCTTAGCGTGCGTTTGTTTACTACAAAAACTTGGTGCTTTTGTTTAGATGCAAATTTGACCTTGATATGCAAGTGCACGCATGTCAGTCAGTGATTTTTGTTTGCCGGGTTTAGATAATTATTAATTACGTGTTTGTTAAGACTGGATTGGAGTTCAGAGTTCATAAAGATAATAATAATAAGTCAACTTAGTAAATTGTGTACCCACATATTATTGAAATTTTGACGTGACAACGTCTTAAATTAGGTTGCGGCTGGGAGTCACTTATGAAAAAGTGTAACGCTCGGTAACGTTACGATGAGTCTCTCGTGTTAAGTTTAAGTTTACATGTACAATGTTTTAGTAAACAAAATATATTTCTATAGTTAAAAACCACACCAGGCTGGTGCACCACGCGCAGGTAATGTGTGACCCACGCGTGCCCCACCTGCGGGGCATGCTTCACCTACCACGCCGCGCTATACAACCACACCAGGCTGGTGCACCACGCGCAGGTAATGTGTGACCCACGCGTGCCCCACCTGCGGGGCATGCTTCACCTACCACGCCGCGCTATACAACCACACCAGGCTGGTGCACCACTCGCAGGTAATGTGTGACCCACGCGTGCCCCACCTGCGGGGCATGCTTCACCTACCACGCCGCGCTATACGACCACACCAGGCTGGTGCACCACGCGCAGGTAATGTGTGACCCACGCGTGCCCCACCTGCGGGGCATGCTTCACCTAACACGCCGCGCTATACAACCACACCAGGCTGGTGCACCACGCGCAGGTAATGTGTGACCCACACGTGCCCCACCTGCGGGGCATGCTTCACCTACCACGCCGCGCTATACGACCACACCAGGCTGGTGCACCACGCGCAGGTAATGTGTGACCCACGCGTGCCCCACCTGCGGGGCATGCTTCACCTACCACGCCGCGCTATACAACCACACCAGGCTGGTGCACCACGCGCAGGTAATGTGTGACCCACGCGTGCCCCACCTGCGGGGCATGCTTCACCTACCACGCCGCGCTATACAACCACACCAGGCTGGTGCACCACGCGCAGGTAATGTGTGACCCACGCGTGCCCCACCTGCCGGGCATGCTTCACCTACCACGCCGCGCTATACGACCACACCAGGCTGGTGCACCACGCGCAGGTAATGTGTGACCCACGCGTGCAAGTAAATTCTTATTCTTATTTTCATTCAATTCCTTGTTCCTATTGTGCAATTTAATTATATTCTTATCAATAAATATTCTACCGAGAAAAAGACGTTTTTAATTTGTTTTTTTTTAACTGTTGACTTTTTAATTGATTAGACGAGTTTTGTGTTGGTTTTCAAAATATCGTTAATTAATTGTTTGTTATTGTCGTTAGCTAATAAAACCAAATCTTAACACAAACTAGTGAATTGGCTAAGTTAGGCACATCTGAAATCGGATATCTAAAAACGGATTTTGAAATCGATTTTGAAATCTGAAATCCGATATATATCCGTTTGCGTTCAAAACCAAAAACGCCCATGTCTAACCAAAAGGAACCAAAGCTGCTGAATGGACTCGTTTTTTTAACATTCTCCCTTTTTTTTGGAAGGCAAAGAAAACAATGCCCAAAGAGTCTAATCTTCAGTTTTCTTTGTTCTTTTTTTTACATTAGAATGTGGGTGTGACGCATTCTAATGTTCCTTGGAGTGTTTTTGTTTTGCACGAAATGTATCGAGTCAGCTTTCTCGATAAGCTTCTGTGAGGTAGTCAATACTACAATAAAGTCTCACGTCCAAGTGGTCGGAATAACGTAATTTTGATATGTTTTTGTTGGTTGTGAGGCAACACGCGCTGGAACTTATCAAATTCATTTTTATGAATACTGAAATAGAAAATAAAACACTAAACTTGTTACGTATAAAGAAATTTTGTCAACAATTTCAAATATATAGGGGTTGATGGCGTGCAGGGTTGAGGCGTGCTAGATGACGCGTACGATATTGCTATGACTCATCGCCATAACAATTTCTAGCTTTACAGACATACCGTTACTCGGAGGGTTCAGTAGATCTTGGTCTATCAAAAAATTATACTTTTTAAATCATCTATTATAATTATATAATAAATGATTTAAAAAGTATATTGATGAGAAAGGTTATTGGTTATTTTTTAATTATTCCCATTTCTTAATAGAAATGTCAAAGCATGATTTTATTTATTATTGTTGGCACCTCGACATTACGTGTCAAACTTAAATGAGGCATTGTAACACAATGCAGTAAGGGGTTAATTTAAGAATTGGCTGTATGGGCACAGTACCCTTGGCCTGCCCAGAATGGTTAAGGAAATTTAAAAAAATGTTAGGTTGGTTGATTGATTTTGATACAAAATACATCGTGAATACACGTTGGTTGTGTTTAATAAAAAAACCAATTTGCAAATATTAAACCTGGAAAACTACACAAATGATGAAATTAATCGATCAGGTTGTTCGCAGTTTTAAGGTTGCCAAGGTGTTTCGAGAAAACACAGACAAAATAAATAGCATAGACTTCTCACCAAACGGCGAAACATTAATATCGTGCAGTGAAGATGACCAAATTGTTATTTACGACTGTGAAAAAGGTACACAAATGATAACGGTGAACAGCAAAAAATACGGTGTTGATCTAATACATTTTACTCACGCTAAAAACACCGCTATACATAGTTCCACCAAAGTTGATGATACAATAAGATATTTGTCACTTCATGATAACAAGTACATCAGATACTTTCCTGGCCACACAAAAAAAGTTGTCACTCTATGTCTGTCGCCCATAGGAGATACATTTTTATCAGGATCATTGGATAAAACGCTGCGTTTATGGGATCTTCGTTCGCCAAATTGTCAAGGACTGATGCATCTTTCAGGCCGTCCAGTTGCCGCTTATGATCCAGAAGGTTTAATATTTGCCGCTGGCGTTAATTCTGAAAGTATAAAGTTATATGACTTAAGATCATTTGACAAAGGTCCTTTTGTGACTTTTAAATTAAATCAAGAGAAAGAGTGTGACTGGACAGGTTTAAAGTTTTCACGTGATGGTAAAACAATGTTGATAAGTACAAATGGATCAATAATAAGACTTGTAGATGCCTATCATGGAACTCCATTGCAGACTTTTACAGGACACTTGAACAACAAAGGCATACCAATAGAAGCATCTTTCAGTCCTGACTCACAATATATATTTAGTGGCTCTACAGATGGTAGAGTTCATGTGTGGAATGCTGATACTGGTTATAAAGTGTGTGTTTTAAATGGAGATCATCCAGCACCAATACAGTGCGTTCAGTTTAACCCAAAGTTTATGATGTTGGCCTCTGCATGCACTAATATGGCATTCTGGTTGCCAACAATAGATGATGTATAAAAGTTCCAATGTCATACCCACTATAAACTTTAATTTTTAATGGTTTAAGATTCAATTTCAACGAGGCAATGTCTGTGTTCCAAATGCTTAGTGTTTTTATGTTAATCAAACCACAAGATTTTCTAATTAATAGGAAAACTCAATAGGAGGTAAAACTAAATATTTATGTCATTATTGTCAGCATGCTATTGAAAATTGAAATAATATAACATTGAATTTTTTGTACAATAATTAAACATTGCAACATTTTCATTGTTGTGGTAAAAAATTTAGCCAATACAATTTGATATTTTTATAATATCGATATTATCAATAAGAACAGAGGCAAAAATCCCTTGGTTTAAGCAGTAGAACTATGCTACTGAACCATGGGCAACTAACAGAATGAGGTATATACTGAGCCTGTTTTCTAAGAAAATCCTGTAGGTAATAAGGGGTCTCATATTACTTGTACAGCAGAATTATTGTGTCTTAAATGTTTAAATTCAGTAACTATCAACAATGTCTCATGTCAAACCATCAACTATTGGTAAAAAATATTATTTTTACATTTTCTTATCTATTTAGTATTGATTAAACATTCCTTATTAAAGTTACAAATAGAATTACAATACAAGAGTTACAATTAGAAGTTTCTTACAAGCAGCACAATAAGTTAGTAAGCGAGCTGTCTCTTAAAATAGAGCTATTACTTATTGAATAAAAAGAAATATACCTACCTAGAAACACCTAGAAATCTCCTCAATTATAGATGACATTGGATGACAAAATGCTGTCTGCCATTAAGAAATATAGATTGTCTGTGTTACTTTTATAAGAATTCATTCTGTTTAAGGTGATCTCACATATGTCAACCCCATATACGCTACATTTAGAATTCCTTGTATACAATCATAAACCCTCTCACATTTTCATCAGCACCATATGCTCCACGTTTCGTAAAGTCTACATGGAAATATGGTGAGTATGGGGCCAACATATATGCAATCACTATAGGTACAGTCAGCTCCATAAAAATCGAAGTGTGAAGACTAATCAATATTATAGAAGATATATAAATTCAATTTTATATGTGCTAATAGATAATCTTATTATTGTTACGGGGCAGAGTTGTCAATATTATCAAAACAACTTAATTCAAAATTATGTTATGTGTTAAGATAATCAATTATACACACATCAAAAGTGTCTAGGGATCAACATATATTTTTGCAACAACTTTTCTCCTGATTGATATTAATTAAAATTTTCTTTAAGGATTCATCAAATAAAGTGTTTTCGTTTGTCACAGTAACGATAAACCAAGTCACCTTTGCATTAATAAAGAAATTTGCCATTTTCCTAATAAAGGGATTTTTGACATTTGAACCACTAACACAAAAGTTCGAAAAAAAGACTGAAATAACAGTTTTCTCTAAAATTTTATTGGGTAACTTAAACAATTAATAATCCGTATTTCTACCGCGAACACTAACAACACAAGAACATCGGTTTGGCATACTCAAAATGAGTTCATCCAAATCACGCTGTGGAATGGCCGCCCATGTTCGTTGCAACAACAAAAAAAGGTCTTCTTGCGACTGGATACCCTCCATATTCGGCAGAGCTCTTCTCTGTAGCATATCCCATGCATGCTCAATCGGGTTCAAGTCTGGCGACTGAGCAGGCCAGGGCAGGACATTGATGTTAGCTGCGGCGAGAGTCTGTCTTACAACTCTTGCGGTGTGCGGTCGTGCATTATCATGCATTAACTGAAATAAGGGACCGATTTGCACTTGTAGAGGAACGATGACGTCTGATACAATCGTCTCGGCATAAATTTGAGCGTTGAGGTTGCCTCTGATCCAAATCAACTCAGTTCTTCCGCCGATCCAAATACCCGTCCATACCATGATGGTTCCACCACTATAAGGATGGACTTCCTGGCAGGATTTTAATCGCTGTTGGCGTCCAGGGGTTCTCCAGTGTCGTATACGTCTTGTATCCGGTCTCATACCAAAACGAGACTCATCAGAAAAGCACACGAAACGCCATTGTTCTTCTGCCCAATTTCTGTGTTCAAGAGCCCATTGATATCGAATCCTACGATTGTGCATTGCTATAGGTGGTACCCGTAGCGGTCTTCGGGAATGAAGGTTCACTTCATGCAAGCGGTTTCTGACTGTTTGGTCGCTAATTAAGTTCCCTGAAGAGTGATGAAGCCTCACGGCTAACATCATGGCGGTTATTGTTGGAGCTCTTCGAGTTAAGATTTGAATGTATCGGTCTTGTCTCCGTGTGGTGCAGCGATACCGTCCTCCATGGCGCTCAGCCACGGTACCAGTGCTTCGGTATCGTGTCCAAAGTCGACTGATAACACTCTGACTTGTATTCAGAGCTAAAGCCACAGTACGTTGCCGGGAACCAGCTTCTATCATTCCCACGGCTCTGAGCATTTCTTCCCTGCTTAAATGACGTCGCCGCTCCATAATAACGTTTAATCAGTAGTAGGGAAACAGTAGCACTAATAATGTCTTCAATGCGTTGTATGTTTTTATAGGGAAAATATTGACAGCTGATTTTCATCTTTTACTCGAATTTGATTCACAGTTCCTGATTCAAATTATGAAATGCACCAAAAAGGATCCATATAAATTTATAAAATCATAAATTTATTACAAAGCCACATCTCAATCTCAAGAAATCCGCATAAAAATGCTTGATCCCTAGACACTTTTGATGTGTGTATATTCGCGAAAAACTGTTCAATGGTATGGTTCTTATGTTTTCATTTTGTGCATGACATGATTGAGGTATCTCAATTAGGCCTAAAGGCACGATTTCATTAAGGAACTATAATTGTGTTTTTTTTTATTATGTATTCAAGATGCAATTTACATGCAACTTAAACAAACCTGCATATAAGCTACAAGATGTGTATCAGTTATACATTTTTATTCAAGTGACGCGCAATTCAAAGCGCAAGCGTTATTTCCACAGTTTCACTTTAGTTAGTTGCACATTCAAATGGTTTACTACTAAATTGGGAACATCACTTGTATGCAAAGTAAAACCTGCATGCAATTTAAACTCTCTCGAAAACATATTTTTAACGCCAGCAACTAGTATATAACGTCATACTTGTATGCAAAACTTGTGTACTGAGATAGTGCATTAAGTATTTTGAAACAATTAGATTAAAGGTCATAGCACAAATGTCAACTTGGAAGCGGATCGATACCGACTCGCCTTTCGGCTTGCCGTCCAACAGGCGTTCACCTATATTTGAGCCTATTAGAGGAAGCGGATGAGCAGCTCTAGTACTTCGACTCTGTTACGGTCCACCGCTGGTTGCCGGTTAGGCGGCACTAGTTCAATCAGTTTGTATCCGAACGCGAGCCAGCGGGAGGGGCGTGGACGAAGAGAGGAGCTTGTCACGAGTCGAGACGATTACGTTACGATTCCGATTAGTATGCGTTGCAGTATGAAGTTATAAACAAAGAATACTTGGTATGGTGATGATCCGTTTTCAAGTTGATATGTGTGCCATAACCTTTATTATGATTTAAATTTAATAATCCATGTAGCGAAGATATCTAAGAATACTCCAGATGCTTAGATACCAATGAACAGTTACGACGCGTACATAATATTAAAGATCATTGTAATGGTGTATATGTATTTGGAGACTTCCGATCTGAAGAAATAGAAGACTGGTTGGTTGTGCTGTTTGTGTGTGTTAGATGACATTAAATGCAAGTATATAATTGACACCTTTGCTCTTAACATATATTTAACCACCTTATTACTTCATATTTTTATGAAGCTGACTGTACTTCAAAACTTAGAGGTAGGTTGTTTTTTTTAATATATCAGTGCCAACCCAAATGCGTTAACGATGGATTGCATTTGTAGTTTGTGAGAAAAATAGATGGCATAAAATATTATCTCATGTAATTTATACAGTAACATATAACATGTTACTGTATATTACACTTTTATTATTTTAATTGATATATTTTGTACTAGTATGCTGATACTGATACTCATTTCTGAATTAAATATTATATTCAGTTTTGATATCAGTGAACTAACATAGGTATTATTTAAAGTGTGAAATGCAGACACTATTTTATTTCAAAGAAAATGTGGCTGATCTTTACTTACCTAGTAAATAAATAATGTCCAAGTAACAGGTTGGTGTAAAAAATATGTTGTAAGCTTCTATACTTACTGTTTAGAATATTTTTCAGCCAGGTACCTATTTAAAGAACAAGGTTAATTTCAATATAACAATTTAGTTCTTATTAGTATTGTGTATTATTTTTACATCCTGTGAAATATTTAATAATCATTTGACGACCTCCGTGGCCGAGTGGTTTGTACGCCGGGTTTCAAGGTGTCGCCGACTCGAGAGGTCCCGGATTCGAATCCCGGTGGGGGCAGATGTTTGTTTGATAAATACGAGCATTTGTACATACTCCAGTCGTGGATGTTTAATATGTATTTCTATATAAATATCCATACTTACTTTTAATATTATAAATGGGAAAGTGTGTTTGTTTGTTTGTCTTCTCTTCACGCCTAAACGGCTGAACCGATTGTGATGAAATTTGGTATATGTATAGCTTGAACTTATGAGACTGCTATAGGCTACTTTTTTTTAAATTTATGTATTCGAATTTACATAATTTTCAACTAAATTAATCATTTTCATGGTTGGTCCCGATAGAGATGGCGCTACTGTCACCAAGACAGATTAAATTTGAAATGTGGAAGTTGCTATTTTAATACGAGATGGCACCACTCGTGTTCAATACCGAGTATTTTGTGTTAGTGTTTCATTTATTAAACCGAGGTAATTTTACGCAATTTCTTTCTAATCTCATTTTTAAAATTAAATCAAGCAAATACTACTCTAAATTTATAATATAAAAATATCATTTTCGAGTGATTATAGATTATGGATGTTGCTTATAATAATAAGAGATGGCGCTACCATCTCGAATACCAACTCAACCGAGTAGTCTCTCTGGAAATAATATTTTCTGAGTAACTTAATAGATGGCACCACCCGTCTTTAAAATGAGTATTTTTAATGGCTTAAAAATGTGAGTTGTGATATTGCGTTTTTTCAGATCGCGCTATTTATGAACATGACTTATTAATATTTATTGTTAATTTTAACGTGATGTAGGTAGGTAGATATTTTAACTAAAACAATATTAGTAAAAAAAAACGACTTCCTTCAGTGTCCTAATATTTTACCAGAAAATCTTATAAACGTCAAATAGATATTAAATAATCAGCTGTTTACAGTAGACAGATACTAAATAAACAGCTGTTATGATTTATTTTAGTCCCTTATTGGAGTATTATCCAATAATTTTCAAGATCCTGGATGGTGAGTAGAGGTAGGCGCTACCAACACGAATAACAATTCGAAAACCAAGCTGTTGCGTGTGAAACTGAAGAGATGTCGCTACCCGTCATTAAACCCGAGTTTACTTGCACTACAAATCTGAGGTTCAGGAGCAGACAGAGAGGCAGGCTCATTTGAGAGCCGCTGAATCGGATGTTCAGTCTCAACAAAGACTACTTGAACAAGCGGGCGTCAAACTACTTTAAGAGCTGCAGAAACACCTGCTGAAACTCAGCAAAGACTTGATGAGCAAGCAGAACGACAAGCTTTTTTGAGGTCATTCGAAACACCTGAACAAGCACAGGCGCGCAGAGATTTAAATGTACGGCTTCAAGCAGAAAGGCGCCGTAATTGTAATAGAAATAAGCTACTTTTTTTCTCACTATGCCAAAAGAGGATGATAGCCTCAAATAGGAAAACCACGCGAGCGTAGCCGCGGGTAACAGCTAGTACTTATATATGTACAGTATATTTATTCTATCCGTTACCCTAGTATCCCATAACACAAGCCTTACAGTGCTTACGTTGGGGCTAGGTTAATTGGTGTGAGTGTTGGAAATATTTATTTATTTATTTGTCATTTCTCCAGAGAAAATAAAATTTATTATTACCTACCTCCGACCCCCACCAGTGGTTTTCCGGAAACTCGAGTTCAGGAGTCTAAGGGGGCAGGCCTCTTCGTAGCAACGTATTATGCTGTCTTGCAAGTGTTTTACTTGTTTTTTAGCTGCTCCGTGGATTAAATTCTGCACTTACTGCAGTTGTTTCTTAGATGGACCGTTAATAGTTGTGCGTAGCGAGCGGTGATTGTCGGTATTCCGTAGATACTTTAGGGGCCATCAAGCCCGTTCACCACCGCCAAAGAGGAATG